GGGTGTAGGAGACTTATCACCATTGATCATTTTAATGCAAACAAGAAAACACAGCCAAGACCTCTTTCAACATTTATTCAAGGGAAAGAAATAAACTTGGAAATTTGTGTGTAATAAGTACCACCTGCACAATTGCTCTGTTAATTATCTTAATGAAGCACATTCTCCATTCTGATTAACGGAAAATCTGTTATTAAGCTCTATTAGCCAGCCAATTTGTCCCACCTTGTTTAGGGAACCATCTTTGAAACACAGGCCAACACATGTTTGAAAACGTACATATTATTTACACTTCATAAAAATGAAAAACTTCCCTCCTAACTAGGCTCACACGATAGATGGGCAGTTTTTTTTAGGTCATTAACTTTTCGAGTACCACCTCCAGATAGGAAACAGTCAAATGTTGAAGACAAGCAGTCAACAGCTGGCTTAATAACAATTGCTCTGCAATTAATTAGTTTAGTTTAGTTAGGGTTCTGTAATGAGAAGTGGAGAAAAGATGGGTTCCCAAGGAGAGGAAGCCAAGGAGGTCAAACAGGCAAAGAGGAAAATGCCACTGGCCAATTTCTGAAGATGGAACTTCCTGAAATGTACCCAATGTGCAGACCTGGCAGCCCCCCACCCACCCACCCAGGGCATCAGACATTATACTACCACAAGTTGACAAACTGAAACTAAGACAATTTGATAGTGAAAGTTAGGAGACTTATATTTCAGCACAACTTAAGGAAAAAAATATTCTTAAATCCAGAGTTATCCTAGAATACAGCCAAGTAACTCTCTCTAAATAAAAGCACTCTCTTGACAGGGTACTGAGAGAATTAAGAGAGGTCACAGATGTTAAAACAACATTACAAAACTGTAAAGTTACATGCAGATGTAACTGATGATGGCAGTAATGTAGCAACACAGACTACCCATACACTCCAATGCCTTGGATCTCTCCTCTATCCAACCAGTTCTCTGCTAAATAAGCCAGGATAAGGACGACTGTTAATATGCTAAGCAGCACAACTGACCCTGTAAACGTCTGAGCACTCTCCTACTGAGAAGACTCTATTTTGCTGATTGGACAAAGTATGAAATTGCTTTTTATATCCGAAGAAACTCATGAGCTTTTAAACTGGTCTCCTGCTGCTCCAAAATAAGGGCCACGGTCTCAGAAGGAGATCATGCCTAGGCAGCACTCCACAACAGCATCAATTCCAATCCCAGCTAATGTCTGACAGAAATGAGGTCTGCCAGGGGCTCAGAATTTGGAATAATATGACAGCCACTTTGAGGGTGCTGCTTGCAAACAGACAGGGTTCCTGGCTTTCAAGGGAAGGTCAGCCTTTTATAAGAGAATCCACACACTGTTAACAGTTTATGGGCCAGTTAAAAGTGAATAGGAAGATCACAAGCATTGTGATCAGGCAGATTTAGGTTCAAATCCGAAACTGCCACATATCAAATGTGGGACCACAGGCAAGCCCACTGGCCTTTCTAAGCCTTGGTTTCCTCTAGCCCAACCGTGGGCAAACTACGGCCCACGGGCCGAATCAGGCCCGTTTGAAATGAATAAAACTAAAAAAAAAAAAAAAAGACCATACCCTTTTATATAATGATGTTTACTTTGAATTTATATTAGTTCACACAAACACTCCATCCATGCTTTTGTTCTGGCCCTCCCGTCCAGTTTAAGAACCCATTGTGGCCCTCGAGTCAAAAAGTTTGCCCACCCCTGCTCTAGCCTCAAAACAGAAAAAAAAATAATGCATACTTTGTAGAGTTGTTGGAAGGTATTTTTTAAGACAGGTTCCTTTACATATAGTAAAACTTACCCATTTTAGGTATACAGTTCTATAAGACTTGAAAAATGTATGCAGTTGTAAAAACGCAACTACAATCTATAATAATAAAAGTGTACTATGCTAATTAGACCAGATAGCCGAACGTCCTTCCGGACGAAGCCAGGGCAGGGAGGGCTGAGGCAGCCGCCACAGTTACCAGGGCTGAGCCCCTTGGACGAATTTTGCGCATCAGGCCTCTAGTTAAGATATAAAGTATTATCATTGCCCCCAAAAGTTCTCTCATCTTTGTAGTCAATGCCCCAACCTCTGAGTCCCAGTCCATGGGAATCACTGAGTGAAGCTGAGAAAAGGCAAGTGAACAACAATCCAAGTTCACAAAGCAAGTAAGAGACAAGTTCAAGACCAGCACCCCAAATGGATCAAAGACCTAAATGAGAGAGCTAAAAAAACAAAACTCTTGGAAGAGAGAAGAACATGTAGGCATAAACTTTCATGACCTTGAATTTGGAAATGGTTTCTTAGATATGATACCAATAGCACAAATAACCAAAGAGTGGTGAGGTGACAGGTAAACTAGATTCATCAAAACTAAAAACTTTTGTGCTTTAAAGAATAACATCAAGAAAGTGAAAAGACCACCCACAAAGTGAATTTTTTTGTAGATCATATATATAATAAGAGATTTGCAACTAAAATATATATATAAAGAACTCTTACCTCAATAATAAAAGGGCAAATAATCTGAGAGGAACCACAATCACATCAATTACAAATAAGCCCTAGTCCAGTGGTCGGCAAACTCATTAGTCAACAGAGCCATATATCAACAGCAATTCTTCAAAACAGACTCACCCAGGCCGAAAAACCAACTTCTGCGCATGGGCCACGAAGTTTCAATCGCACCATACGTGCACCTGCACGTGGTATTTTGTGGAAGAGCCACACTCAAGGGGCCAAAAAGCCGCATGTGGCTCACGAGCCACAGTTTGCCGATCACGGCCCTAGTCAGTTTGGCTCAGTGGAGAGCAACATACTCAACAGGCAGACTCAGTGAGCACCAAAACCCCACTGAAGCAAGTCCTGATCCATAGGGGTGTCTCCTACAGAGCAGCTCTTCCACTGTAGTCGCAGCTGGCCCTCACAGCCAATTGGCCTGGAGATCAACTCCTCCTAGTGAGGCCAATAGCAATCAAGGCTCAATTACAACAAGACTTTGCACACAGCCCACACCTAGAGTGCCCAGCTCAGGTGACTGGGGAGGCTTAGCCACTGGGCCCTACAGGACACCTTCTACACAAGGCCACTCTAAGAACTTCAGCTCTACCTAATACATAGAAACAAACACAGGGAAGCAGTCAAAATGTGAAGACAAAGAAACATGTCATAAATGAAAGAAATGGAAGCAAGCAAACACTTTTTAAAACACTTTATTTTTACTTTATTTTGTTGATTTGAAAGAGAATGAGGAAGGGAGAGAGAAACATCAGTTTGTTGTTCCACCTCTTTATACACTGGTTGTTTCCTCTATGTGCTCTGATTGGGGATCAAACCCATAACCTTTGCATACTGAGATGATGCTCTAACCAACTGAGCTACTCAGCCAGGACTGAACATACATTTCTTTAATAAAGTTATATAAATGACCAATAAGCACATGAAAAAATACAAATCAAAACCATGAGGCCCTGGTTGGGTAGCTCAGTTGGTTAGAGAATCATCCTGATATGCCAAGATTGCAGGTTCAATTCCTGGTCAGGGCACATTCAAGAAGCAACCAAGAAATCCTATATAATCAAAGCCTAATATGCAAATTGTCCGTTCAACTGGAAGTTCAACTGGGAGTTCAACCAGGGGGCAGGGCCAGCCGGACCCCACCCATGCACAAATTCGTGCACTGGGCCTCTAGTGCATAAATAAGCAGAACAACTAATCGATCTCTCTCTTTTTCAACCCCTTCCTTTCTCTCTCTCTCAAATCAATCAATAATTTTTTAAAAAATTTAAACCCATAATGAGATACCACTTTACATACACTAGGATGGCTATTATAAAAACACACAGAGAGATAACAAAAAGAGTTGGCAAGGATGTGAAGAAATTGGAATCCTTAGACAATGCTTGTGGGAATGTAAAATAATAAAGGCACTTTGGAAAAAAGTCTGACTTCCTCAAATATGGTTACCATATGATCCAGCAATGCCACTCTTAGGTATATACCAAAGAAAAATGAACATGTATGTCCACACAAATGTTCATAGCAGAATTATTCATGATAATCAAAAGGTGGAAACAATCAAATATCCAACAGACAAATGGATAAACGACATGTGGTATAGCCATAAAATGAAGAATTTGGCAATAAAAAGGAATGAAGTACTGATACATGCTACAACATGATGAACCTTAAAAACATATTAAGTGAAAGAAGCCAGTCACAAAAGGCCACATATCATGTGATCCATTTATATGAAGTGTCCAAAATAGACAAATCTATAGAGACAGAAAGTAGTTAGTGATTGTCTAGATTAGTTCATGATACATGAAACCTAGTAACTTCCAAACCCACATCTTTCTCAAAATCATTTAATACAATACTCACTACACACACACCTGTTTCCTGAACATTTCTTCCTGAACAACATAAGCAATT